GAAATGGAGTTATTTAATATATGCCACAGGAGAAGATGTATGGGTCTGGTCTCTGCTGCCTTGGAGCTGCTGCCTAGGTGAGTTACGAGGCATGTGACCAAATGCACCACTGCATTTCTTAACCCAATTTATCCCTTTTATACAATATTTCTTTTATACTTCCCCTTAGCAGTTGGCTCAGAGATTGCAAACTTCATGATCCTTTCGGCCTGAGGCAACTGCAGAATGGGAGCCTGAACCCCCCCTTTAACTCAGCAAGGTAGTCTACAAACCCATGGCCGTGCAGCAGGCAGGCAGCCCTGAAGCCCTGCCGACCTTCACCTGCAGGTGTCCTTTGACACGTCTGCCAAGAGAGGTAGAATGCCACCACCAGAGTGTAAGCAGAGCCTGTCAGCCTGGGGACCCTCTGCAGTCCCGAGGCTCACCTTGGGGGGGGTCGGCGGTGAGGTATGGAGCGATGGGAAAGGGGCCCACTCGTGTGCAATGGGTGTCTGTGCCGCCGCAGCACAGCCCTGCTCAGTGTTTCTGCGCTGACGGCAGGAAAGACTTTAGCCAAAAGGTTGCTTAAAGCAAAGTATAGCAAGGTACGGCATGTTGTATTTCTTTATGTCTTGACATCTACTCACTTCAGACACCACAAAAATCTCTCATTGCTGATGGCGGGGGAAGGAACATTTTAGGTCAGAGAAGTCTTTTTATCGAGGGCTCGGGGCCCTCCGTCGGGGCAAGGCGGCAGCACCGCAGCTGGCGGCGTCCTCTCCTCGGTCCCCGCGGCCGCACCATCCGTCGCCCCATCCGCGCCGTGCTATTGCACCGAGGCAATAGCTGCGGCACAGCGCGCAAGTTCCGCGGGATGAGCGGCCCTCACCGCTGCGCGCACGGCAAGGACGAACTCCATCAGAGGCGGCTTGACGCCCGTGAGCCCCGCGGTGTGTGACATGGAGCCGGGAACTTCGAGAGTGGGGAGCCGGGGCTCGGCAGTGGCCGGAGAACAAAAGCCCCCACGGGGCTCCGTGTTCCCTAGAGAAGGGAAGACGTGGAGGAGGCACCCGTCGGGCTGGCTGCGGCGGTGATGCACGTCGGGGAGGCATCGGGGTGGACTGCCGCGGTGCCGCGGGGCAGGCGGCTGGGCCCGCTCCCTGCTGCCCGGGGGCAGCCCCGCGGCCGGGCCGGGGCGGGGGCCGAGGGCGAGGGGGCGGCCGGGCTTGCGCGTCCTGGGGAGACACGGGCGGTACCCAGCCCGCTGAGGTCGTTGAGTGCTTAGTTACTTTCTTCTTTCGTGGAAATTAATCGCGGCGATATTCTGCGGGAATCTGAGTCCGAGAAGAGAAAAAGGGGACGCTGAGCGGGAGTTGCAGCGGTGGTGTCCCCCGGAGCCTGCCAAGCGCCGCGTCCCAGGCCGCCTACGCCTGTTTGTCAAAACTTGGCATTTCATGACTAGTTCATTAAAAACAAAACAGAATATCCCACCCAATAAATCGGAGCGAAGCCGGTGATGATTTAATCACCAAGAAAGACCAGCGGAATCCGATGCCAGATAGACGGGCGGTCACTGTTTTCCTTAAAAAAAAAAATAAAATAAAATTAACTCCTCGGTGTGTAGCCTAGTGCTTTGCCTCATCCTGTCGGCCGGCGTTAGCCCAAGGCTGGGCTTGGTCCGTGGTCGCCCTCGCTGCCCAGCGACCGCTCTGCCCTGAACGCCCCAGCAGCGCTCCCTGGGCCAGGGGCTGTCGGGGGCCATCGGGTCTCTTCCCAAAGCAGCGTGCAGTGGTGCTCTGCACCAAGGACTATGCTCTCGGCCCCTTCTCTAGGCGTAGTCCCTGTCATGAGCCGGAGCCGGCCCGAGTACTCGCTGACCCCTCTCCCTCCGGCGCCGGCTGCGGACGCACCCCTGACCCCCTCTGAAGACTCTGCCCCATTCATTTTCGCGGAGCTGAGTTCCCAGCGACCGCGACCCCCCACTGCCGATAGCGCTCCGTGCACGCATCACGCACCGCGGCCGCGCACGGAGCCCCGCGGGAGGGCCCGACGAGCGCCGCTGCGGGGTCTCGCTGCCCGGGCGCATTTCTGCGCGCAGAAAGGGGCGAATGGTCAAGGTTTGCCCCAGGCTTCACGGCCGCGAAGGAACTGCTTTAGTCTTTTCCTCGCAGCAAGAACAAACACTGCCTATCTCCTTGCTCCCCTGGACGGAATCCAGCGCTCCGGATAATTTTTTTTTTTTTTTTTTTTTTTTTTGAGGGGATGGGAAGAGAGAGCGGGGCTAGGCTGAGATAACCGCGGCGATATCTGCACCGATGGGACGCGCGGATGGGAGAAGGAGGTGCGAGGTGAGCGCTCGGACGCCCGCGGATAGCGGTGCTGCCTCCGCGCTCCTCGTGGCCCCGCGGCCGCCGTCTCTCGGGCGGTGCGGGGAGAGCCGCGTTCGGGGTCCGCCGGGACCCCCATCCCAATGCTCTGGGACCGCCGGGACCCCCATCCCAATGCTCTGGGACCGCCGGGACCCCCATCCCAATGCTCTGGGACCGCCGGGACACCCATCCCAATGCTCTGGGACCGCCGGGACAGCCACGGCGGGGCCGGGTCCCGTGCCCGGGCGGGCGGAGCGCGCAGGGCCCCGCGCTGACCTGCAGGCGGCGCTGCAGCACCGCGGCCGCCGCCGCCGGGCACGGCGCGGCCCCGGGCGCTCCCCCCGCGCCGCCGGCCGTGCCGCGCCCGGCCCGGGACAACGGGGCAGCCGCCCCGCCGCGGGGGAAGTCCCTTGGGTGCGGGAGGGGCTCGCCCCAGGTGGATGCAGACAGGTGACATGGGAGCGCTGGGGGACCTGCTCTGGGGGTCCTGCGGGACCCGGCGGCCCGTGCCCCGGCTAGTGCCACCGCTGCTCGACGGGTGCCACTGCCGTGAAGCCCCTCGGCGTCCGAGCGACCCCGGCTCCACCTGGTGCGGAGCTGACGCGGCATTATGGGTGAGCCTCGCGGCCGGCTCTCCCCGCGCACCTGCCGGCCGGGCCTGGCGGAGTCGCGCCGGGGTCACCGGGTGCTCCCGGCCAGCGCAGACGTGCGCGGCGACCGCCGCACTGCCGGTGGTGGGCGAGCGCAGCGTAGCCAAAAAGGTACCACGAGCGGCCAGGGAGCGAACAGCCCTGGCAGTGACGTCGCACCGCACCGTCTCCCTCCCGAGTTCCCTCCGCTCTGAGGCTTTTTCGTTGCCTGGTCGGCTTGTGATTTGAGGAGGTCGTTGTTGTTTGGGGATTTTTTTAGATTCTGGTTTTGATTTTGGGCTGGTTATTAAATATATATAGGTTTGGGGTTTTTTTTGTTTGGTTTTTTTTTTTTTTCTTCTCCACAAGTGCGGCTTATTTCTACTTGCTGTACGGAGCAAGAAATGATGGTTCTCCCGAAACAATTTCCCTTTGATTCTTGAGTCTGGGGCTGTTGTTCTTGGTATCCAGAAGCCAGCAGTGAGGGGAAGAAACTGCAACTCTAAAGACCCCTTTTAACTTCGTTCTTGAAGCAACCGGCCTCTTTCGAGAAAGCAAAACGAGGCGATGCGGGTCCTGCCCCCGCGTCCTGCCGGAGTCCCCCAGCCCAGTCGCGGCCGACGAACCCTTGCCCTGTGCAGGCTCCCCGAGGCGGCAGGCACCCACCTCATACCCAGACCGAGGAAATCACTCCTCCACGAATTGTGAACTTCCGTATCCTCACTGGCCGGGAGAAGAAATGCTATTTATTTAGGCTGTCTGGGATTTAAAACAGAGCATTTTCGAAGCAGGAATTTATGGAAAGAAACGAAAAATAGCCCCAGCGGCCGGTGGCAGCCGCGGGCTGCAGCGTGCGCCATCCTCGGCCGCGCTGCCCTGTGAGGGGACACGGCCAAAACTTCCTCTGCCGACTCATATTCCCTTCTTTGATTAGTTTTTTCTTACTGAACACTAAAGGGAGAAAAAAATTCCCATGCAGCCGTAATTTATGTCTTCTTTTCTACCTCGGTCTTGAATTAACCTGCATCGACTTTACGTTTGAAAAGTTTTCAAAGCTGTCCTTTAAGTGCCATTTTCACGGACATCTTTTGTCCTTTTCCAATTCTACTTCAAATTTCCAGTCCAGATTATACGATTAATTCTCCATACATGTGATTGAAATAACGCACATAACAAGATAATATTACAGATAAAAATGTAACCCAACAGCCGCATTGCAACTATCGACGAACGTGAATAGAGCTCCCTAATCGAGACATTCGAAGAGAGTTAGGGAGGCCCCATTTAGCAGTAAATTCCCTGGTAATAAATCGAAACTGCTTTCGAAACTATGTGTCTGTTCCAGGTAGGGACTGTGTGCTTAGTCACTGAGCATGGGGATGCCTCCGCAGAGCTTCTCTTCCCGAATCTGCCCTTAGGCGATTCAGTCGCGGTGAAAGGGCAGCGCCGAAACGCTGAAGGTCCATAGGGCGACCCGACACGACGGCCACAAGCCCATTTGGACGTGAGCACTATCTGCACCCACCCCTGGTGACATGGGCGCCCACAAAAACCCACACTCTATGTTTGGGAGTGTTATTTTAGATATTTAAGCCAGTCGGGCCGCCTATGTCACTCCAGCTGGGGTACGACGGGCAGCGGAGATGGACGGCGAGACGCAAGGAGCACGCAAATACCCGCGGCCGGCAGTGGGACGGGGGGCGTCGAGCTGTTCTCGGAGGGAAAAGTCACCTTAGGTGACGCGGGGGGAGCGGGGGGCGTCCTGCCACTTTCAAGCCCAGTTGCTACCCAAACACAAGTAAACAGTGGGGCCGGCGCGGCGGGGCGGGCCGGGGCCGGGGCCGCGGCCGGGGGCGGTCCCGTCCCGTCCCGTCGGGGCGGAGCGGCGCGGCCCCGAGCGCGGGGCTGTGCGCGCCGCGGGGTGGGCCGGCGGCGGCGGCGGGCGGGCGGGGACAGCGCTCCACGCCAGTCACCGCTGAAATGTGATGGACCGGGCAGGGGGCGGCTCAGACTCGCGCCGAGCCTCGCCGGGGTCGAAGGCGGGAGGCTGCGGGCGGGAGGCGGCGGTCTATGCCGGGGCCCCGGGACCGCCGCGGCCAGTGCTCCCAGCCGCCGCCCAGCCCTCCGCAACATGCCGGTCGCCGCCGGGCCCCGGCCCCGCTGAGCGTCCCCGCTGTGGATCTAATGTCTCCGTGAAGGTGCCGCGGCCGCCGCCTCAGCTTTGCCCCGGGAGGAGCAGCAGGCTGCGGTAGGTGAGTGGCTCCGTGGTCCGCCCTGCCCGCTGCCGTCGGCGGGAGCGGGGCGGCCGCCTCGGGAGCGGAGCGTGCGCTCAGCCGGGAGCGCGGGGCCGCCGGGCTTACTTTCAGTTCGCAGCTCCGCGGGGGCTTGGGGTGCGGGTGTTCCCCCCTCCACGCCACTGGCGCGTTGGTGCGAGGCCAGGCTACGGCAGCCTCCCGGGATGCGCTCTCGATGTCCTTCAAGCTAAACTCCTGGCAGGGAGCAGAAGGTCCGCGCTTGGACTGCGAGCTAAGCCGCGGGTCTCACTGGAGAAACCTCGGCCGGGTGGAAACACCTGGCTGCGCGGGCAGCGGCGGCCGCGGCTTCGGGTGAGGCCGTCGGAGAGGTGCCCACCCGCTCCCTGGGTAGGACGGCAGCGCCTTCGGGGATGGTCCCGGCCCCGCCGCGGGACAACGGGGGGCGCGGGCCGGACCGGCGGGTCGGCGGCAAGCAGGTAGAGAGGGCTGTCCTGGCACCAGCCTTAATTTAATTAAGCTCTCTGCATGGAAAGGGAAAAGGAAGTGCCAAGGTTTAAGTAACATCCGTTTTTGGTTGACTTTCAACTCCTCCGCCCCGACACACCTTAATATAAATGGCCTTAAAATCACGTTCGAAGACGCTTTCTATTCTTTTTTTGATACGTTTTACTAAAGTTACCTCCAAATACAAATAGTAGCAGATGTACCGCCATTCAGACAGAAGTGTAGTTTTAGAAGTTTCTACCTTAAAATGAGGATTTCGTGTTCAGAATAGTTTTCTCGTAGTTAGTTCTTGAACACCAAAACGAGCGTGGTGTAATGACACCCCCATACACAGCCTCCAAACGCGGCTGTAACAGAGGGAGCTCTGCCTTACAGAAACACTGCTCCTACCTCAGCTATAGCTCCCAGCCGGTAGATCCGAAACCCAGCCTCAAACACCCGGGATGGAGGCAGAAGCCGCCGGAGCAGACAGCGAAAAGTGATTGAATTTCTTCTGTTTCGGTTCCTCGCGGAAAGCGAATAGGAACTTACACTACGACATCTTTAAAAATAAGTCTCTATATATAACCACACACCCCTCTCCCCAATAAAACGAAAATATCTCCATATATAATAGTATCGATAACTGTCGCCGGTGTCGATACAATCACAAACGAGGAAACCTGGGAAGCAGCGGAGGAAGCTCTGGAGAGCCACGACTCTAGGCAAACGAAAATAGGAGTAGGCAGCACTGCACTTCACACCCGACCTCCTTGCCACATTTCTTTTCCCCCAGTCGGCCAATTGTACCGTGCCACAAATGTGGGGGAAAGATATTGTAAGAAAAAAACTGAAAAGTAATTTTTCAGGCGGTGCGCCCGCGGTGTCAGCGGAGCAGCAGGAGCCGGGCGGCAGCGGCCCGGGAGGCAGGGACACCGCTCATAGAGCGCGGGCTCTGCACTCGGAGAGTTTCCTTAAATTTTGTTGTTGTTTGGAGGGGGTGGTTTAGGATTTTTGCGGGGGGAGGTTCTCTTGTTTATTTTGGAAACTACGCGTTACCAGACCCTCCACAATAATCCTTTGAGGTGCTGGGTCACCCTCGGCCCTACCTCTTGTTTACAGGCCCAGAGAGACCCCGGCGTTTCCTTTGGCCGCTTTCCTGGGTCGCGACAGCCTCTTGGCTGCTGGAAGTGAACCCTCAACGAAAGCAAAAAAAAAGGAAACGGCGGGGGCTTTCCCCCCGCGCCGATGTCCCGCTGCCCCGCGGCTGGGGGGGGGGGCGGGGGGAGCGTCGCCCCGCGTCCCGGGTCTGCCGAGGAGACCCCCTTGCGACGGGAGCAGCGGGCCCGGCGGTTTCGGTTGAATGGGCTGAGTGAAACCCTCTGACAGTCACACACCGCTCATTAGCTCACGGCCCCGCCGCTCCGGGGAAGCTCCCGGCCGAGGGACGCCCGAGGGGGTGCGGGGGGCTCGGCCGCACGGCTCCGTCCCGCCGGGGCTCCGGTCGCCCTTCTCGGCCCCGCGACGCGGAGGGAGCCGAGTGCGGGGCAGCGCCGTGCCAGGCGGCCCTCGGCGGGCCGGGAGGCCTCCGGGCCGGCCGCTCTTCTCGCCGCCGCTGGGGTGGCTGCTGCACGGGGGGCTGGGGAGGTGTGCGTGTGGGATAGGGGCTCCTTTTCTCTTCTTCGGTTATCTTGATAAATGAGTTGTTGTTGAAGGAAGAAAAATAAGCAACAGAGGTTTATTCCACCCCCCCTCCCCCCCCCGCTCCGCCCCCCGGGCCTGACTCGGCTCTCCGTGAACACCCTGCTCTATCCTGGGGAGGCCCCAGCCAGGAGGGGTCGGGGTCGGGGCCTCAGCGCCCGCAGGAGGCCGGGCGGAGGGTGGGAGGGACGCCGGGGGCCAGGTCGGCGCGGGGGGCAGGAGGGAGGTGGCTGCGGGGTCCCCGCGGTGTGCGCTGCGGGGGAAGGTGGCTGGGCGACGGAAAGCGGAGAGGTTTCGTCCCTGGCCGCGTCTCCGTTCCGTCTGTATTTTTACACGATTCGTTTAATTTGAATTTGCGGCGCCTTCGGTTGTCCCGGTGCTGGGTTTTCTCCTTTTTGTTTTAATTTGGGGTGGGACGCTATTTTTAAAATTTATTTCCTGCGCTTTAGCTTCTCCGGTCGAAGCGATCGCGCCGTGGGTCGGTGTCGGCCGCCGGTCCCGGCGGAGAACGGGAGCCTGTGCTGCGTCGGGGTACTGCGGCCGCGGAAAGGCAGCGCGCCGGAGCCGTGCCTGGCCCTCCCTGGCTCCCCTGCTGCGCTCGCCTCGGCTAAGGAGCACCATGCTTCTCCCAGTAAAAGTCTCTCTCTACTTCTTTCTCCCTCTTTCTTCCTAGGATTTTCTCCCGGTCTCAGAAGCCCATCAGAGGCACCAGCTGCTCCGCCGGCTTGCACCCACCTCGGGAAGATGGGAAGCAAGGCTCTGCCAGCCCCCATCCCGCTGCACCCATCCCTGCAACTCACTAACTACTCCTTCCTCCAGGCTGTGAACACCTTCCCCGCAGCTGTGGACCAGTTGCAAGGTCTGTACGGACTCAGCGCCGTGCAAACCATGCACATGAACCACTGGACATTGGGCTACCCCAATGTGCATGAAATCACCCGCTCTACCATCACGGAGATGGCGGCGCAGGGCCTGGTGGACTCCCGCTTCCCTTTCCCCGCGCTCCCCTTTGCCACGCACCTCTTCCACCCCAAGCAAGGGGCCATCGCCCACGTCCTCCCAGCATTGCACAAGGACAGGCCTCGCTTTGACTTTGCCAACCTGGCCGTGGCCGCCACGCAGGAGGATCCCCCCAAGGTGGGGGAGCTCGCCAAGCTGAGTCCCGGACTGGCCTCGCCCCTGTCGGGCATTAGCAAGCTGTCCCCGGACAGGAAGCCTTCCCGCGGCCGCCTGCCCTCCAAGACGAAAAAGGAGTTCATTTGCAAGTTCTGCGGCAGGCACTTCACCAAGTCCTATAACCTTCTTATCCACGAGCGAACCCACACGGACGAGCGGCCTTACACCTGCGACATCTGCCACAAGGCTTTCCGGAGGCAGGACCACCTGCGGGACCACCGGTGAGGGACCACCACGACCGGGGTCGGGCCGTGGGCAGCCGGGGAGGGGTGAGCCGCTCGAGGGGGATGAGACTCAGCGGCTCCAGGAGCCACAGAAACAGAACAGGAAAAGCCCCCGGCTCAGATTCGGAGGCCACGGAGGGACCAGAGCAGCCGAAACCTGCGCTTTGTGTGGGAAGGGCACCCGCCTGAGGGAGAGCTAGAGGGGTTCACAGCCGGAGATTAAGATCCCGGGGCTTTTGTGCTTCTGAGTCGTGACCCTGGGGGGTGCAGGGAACAGGACGGGTCGCAGGTGGGCGCTTCCCTGCTGATCCCCCATCCATCTCCGCCCGCTGCGGCCGGTGCTGAGAGGCGCCCGCGGCCGCAGAGCTGAGAGTCCGCTCCGCCTTTGGAGAAGAGCGGGCTCGGGTCCGGCCTGCAGCGCAGATGCTGTCCCGGTCTGGCACCAGAGAGTGCAGTCACGCTTCGGTACGAATTATTGCAAACGTTTTGAACCGGCCAAGAAGTTTAACCATACGCAGAATAGTAATGGGGAAAAGAAGGAAGAGGAGGTGAGGGTGTCTGGGAGAGGGGTTCGAGTTTGGGGAAGCGGAGTCTGGGGTCGCGGGGCCCACGTGCCTCCGGCAGCGCTGCTCACCCCACGGGTTGCCTTCCAGGTATATCCATTCCAAAGAGAAACCCTTCAAGTGCCAGGAGTGCGGGAAGGGCTTCTGCCAGTCCAGGACCCTGGCGGTCCACAAAACCCTACACATGCAGGTGAGCCTGCCCTTCCCAGGCCTCTCAACGCGTGTGCTGCCGGCGCTGTTCCGGCCCGGCTCGGTCCAGCTCGGCTCGGCTTGGCTTGGCCCGCCGCGGGGCAGGGGCGGTGACCACCGGGGGAACGGGGCTCTGGTGCGGAGGGGAGAGAGGAGAGTCCGGCACTGGACGGCCCCGGGGGCCCGCGGGGCAACAGCGGCCCGTAGTTACCTCCGCGGCCGCGGGAGACCCACGGTAAACGGCGCCCTTGGGAGACGGGCTTAAAGCCCGCGGGGACGCGGCTGGCGGAGGGGAGTGAGCCCCGGGTTCGGGTTTGTCCATGCCGCTGCTTCGAGGCGTTTTTCGTTGAGGGCTGCAGCCCTGGCAGCGGCAGCGGGCGCGGGGCAGCGGGGCGGCCCGGCGGCGGGATGCGGAGCCGTGCGGGGGGACCGCCGTGGCGGCCGGGCGGGCAGCGGGAGTCCCGGAGCGGGAGGGCGGTGCGGAGGCTGTTTTCTGTGTGCCCCAGGGGCGCGGAACATCACGACTCGAGAACTATAAAATAAGGCTTTTGGGAAAGGACAGGGAGAGGTGGGCGGCCGCCCGGCCGCACGGGGCTCCTCTCGTTCGTGTCTTCCCCCGATATCTCAAGTTGTGCGTTGCGGTGAGAAAAAGTGCAGTAATACGTTAAACAAGGTGGTTTGTGAAGGATTAATCCTTTGCTTGCTTCAAATCTGAACAGGAATCTCCACACAAATGCCCCACATGTGGAAGAACCTTTAATCAAAGAAGTAACCTGAAAACTCACCTTCTTACCCATACAGACATCAAGCCCTACAACTGTGAGCAGTGCGGCAAAGTGTTCAGGCGAAACTGTGATCTACGGCGGCACAGTCTAACTCACACCCCGCGGCAGGACTTCTAGAGCAGCCAGGGACCCGCGCCCGCTCCGGCAGCTCCAACTTGCCCACTTTACTCAAGGAGTGTATTGTAGGAACTCACAGACGCACACACACACACACACGGACACACGCACGCAGACTCTGGGCCAAACTTTCCTACCACATGTCTGCGAAACTCGTTTAGAGAGTGCGGACTGCAGGATCGGGCCCCTCTCCAACCCACACCCAAGCGTAAAGCTCATCTTGTAGATAATCGCGGCTCATTTTAGAGCTCTGTACAGAACGTGGTTTTTTTCTTTGTTTGTTTGTTTTGTATCTGTCAAATGCACATCGATAACAAATCCTGGAGGCAAAGTATCTCTTTAAAAAGTTATTTCAAAATAAAACTTTTTTTTTTTTTTTTCTCAAATACCTCCCGCCTTTTTGTATTATTCTCTGAGCATTTGGGCTTTTTTTTTCCTGCTGTGTCAATGCAATGGCAAAGCATATTGAATAAATTTCCTAGCCGGGTAATTGTACTGTCACAACAATTTTGGTGATCGCTTTTGTTTGGTCTGTTCCACTGTCGCTGTTGTGTTATCTATTGTTAAGTAAAATGAAAGTGCCTTATTTGAGAGTTTATAGCTCTATTACTTAATAGTATGAATGTCTAAATATTAACTTCTGTACCTTTTTTTTTTTTCTAATTTTCCCGAATGATTTTTTTTTAAAAAGAAGAAAAACAAAGAAATATTTGCAAATAAACAGATCTTAGGAAATAATGCATAGAGCCGTTCTTACACCAAAGCGGCTTATTAGTAACTTATTTGCAATCAGGCCGTATATTGTAAAAGTTACCCCTCTCACAGGAATTGCAGCAGGCAGCCTCCTGCCTGTAGACTTTGGACACGGGCAATTCACCCGCCTAGACAGGGACTTTATCCTGCAGAAGACGATTCTTTCCCGGCAGCTCTGGAAGCAAACAGCGAGGTGCCAATTCCGCCCCCCGCCCCGGGCTCATCCGCGGGCCCTGGCAGAGCTGCGGCACTGGGAGCAGGGATCCCCTCACTGCGTTCCTCTCCTCCATCTGCAAGGCCGGCCACAAGTCACGCCCAGGGGGTTGGACGGAGAGGGATTGTTCCCCCCCTCTCGGGAGACACTCACCCACCGTGGGGGCCCCCAGGCACTCCCCTCCAGCGTGGCTTTTGGCAACTCAGCATGTCCACCCCATGGGCTGCATGCTCAGTGCCCTCACGGGCTCTGCAGCCGGCAGGATGGTGGCACTGCACAACGGGCTCTCCTTGCCTGCCATCCTTGCAAGCCCCTCACCAGTGCCCGTGGACTCTTTTGGAAGAGTGTGATGCCAACACTGAGGCATTTTCCCTGATATATTGCAGGGTGACTTGGATGTGCATCCCCTCATTACCATCCCACTGCTCTTGTCACTCCTGGCACCCTCTCCACCGTCTTGAGTAATTTGGGGCCCCAAAAATTTCTCTTTCTCAGGCTGAGGGCAACCATCTTCCCCTACTCCTCTGCCAAATGAAGGGCCAGGTTAGAATGGCAGGGAAAAATCTTTTCCCCAGGCCCAGGGAACCCTGTCCAAGGAGAGATCAATTCCCTCACACCCAATTCAACAGAGAGGGCTTCACTCCTGGGCTCCACCTAGCAGGGTACCAGAATCCATCCATGGGAAGGATTGCAGATCCTAGCTTGCCCAAAAGCAGCAGGTGCTGAGAGAGCTTGTGTGGCTACATTGTCCCCATCCCTGATCTTTGCTGGTCCTCCAGCAGGGAACACTGCCTGAACACTGTTAATGAGTAGCAGGTCAAACCCAGCAGTGCCTGGGCTGCAGTCAGACCATCAGTGCAGAAAGCTCTGGTGCATTCCTGCCTGCACTGCCTCCACAGAAGGCTACTGTAGGGCAGGGACTACAAGCTAGCCCCAGACCAGCCAGGTGAACTTCCACTGATACAGCAGATTTGACAGTGCCAAACCCAAAATTTCATAAGTCAAGGCCTATGTCTCCATCTGCCCCTGTCCAGGAAGACGGGGAAGGAAAGAATGTTTCTGCAGCCAGAAATATTTGTCTACTGGCTGAAGAGCAGTCAAAGTTTATGTCAGTGCCATCTGGTCTTTTCCTCTTCACCGCCTCTGAACTTGCACCCTTCTTTGCTGGGGCTCTGCTCCCTAGAAATATCTTTTCTCATACCCTGCCCTGCCGTGTTGGCAGTCCTTGTCCTCCCTCTTCAAAATGCTTCTGTCTTCACACTGCTCCTCTCTAAACCTCTCTTCATGGGCATCTTTTGCTCCCTCTTCATGGGCATTTTCCCAATATCTGATGTCTTCCTGTCTGACTGATTTTTCTACTCCCAGTGCATTCCTCTTCTCTCAGTAGGTAATTTCCTCTAAGTTTCTCCATCGTTATTGTTCTCTGAGTTCCTGTCCCCAGGCCGTTTTACGTCCCCAAGTATGCACAGCAAGGCTGGGATAACTCCATTTGAGTAAACACTCCTGTCAGGATACATATGGGCTCAGTCCTCTCCTCATAGGCCAAGTTCTGTGTGAAGTTTGTTTGGAAAGAATTTAATCAGATTAACAATATCAAAGGACAAAATTAAAGTGATTGTATATAGCTAAGGTTTTATTTAATTGTTTGAGGTTGCTTGTTTAATAATCTTCCCCCTGAGCAGACACAGACTGTAAATTTATCTTCTGAGGATTTCTAAAGTTCAGCAGCCAGAAAAAAAACCCAAATTACTGAAGCAGGTCAGTGAGGAGCATCTCTAACTGTTGATCCGTGAACTGTTATTTTATATTTAAACCAGTAGCTATCATCTTAAAATGTCAGAGAATGATCTAGTATTTCTCTTTACTATCAATTCATTTGCCTATAGCACTGCCACACCCCATTCACTTTTTAGAAATTCATCCCTCCCTGGAAAATTTCAGAGGCAGCTATAAAGAACATGTTAAAATACACATATGGTTTGTTGGTTTTAGACCTGTTGGGAACAGAAACAAGCTCTGTAAAGCTACTTTTTGGGCAGGGCTAGGGTTTTTATAGCCATAAAGTTCCATCCTGACTTTCACAATGCAAACACTAAATACAGCAATATCCCTGTGACTGCCGTTTGTGCCTTTGTGAAGTATCCTTCTTCCCTCTGGAAGTTCTCTGCTCAGTCACAGAGCACAGCACACAGCTCCATGCTTCTGCAGTTTCCCAGAGCTTCCCAAACCACCTGCCTCCTGCTGCTCTGTTTTACTCTCTCTCATTGCCACTTCTTTTTTGGCACTGCTCTTTTTTTTTTTTTTTGCCTGCACTGGCATGGGCTGATTCTGCATCTTTTACTGTGTTAGAGGCAGCAGCTGCAGTGCTGTAGCAGGAAAAAGAACTAGCTGTGCTACATACCAGGGAGAAAAAAACAACAGATAATAAGAATGTCACAATAATCTACATTTTTTAGGGGAAAATTATAGCTCTCCGAGTTGCATATGAAAACTGAGCTCTTTGCATATCAGTTGCTGAAACAGATACTGTCCACAGCTGATGGCAGAGCAGCTCAGCCCAGCTAATTGTGCATAAAGCTTTTCTATGTGGTAAATATTATTTAGCAATGGCATGTTGTGCTGTTCCAGCCAGCACAGACTGTATCTGATGCAGTGCAAATTTGCTGGCAAAGCCCAGATTTATACCAGTACCATCTTAGGAATATGCACAGCCCAGATCTAAGTGTCAAACACCCAGCAGCAGCCCAGGAATGTGGCATGGCCATGTCTGTCTGGGTCTAAAGGCTGGTGCCTAAGGTCCCTTAGAGTAAAACATGTGAAAAACCACTATTCATTGAACTCCTCTCTGCCTGCTGTTCCCTTCCTTTTTCCTCTTCCTTCTTCCTTCTGACTGTTCTACTTTTGGATGTTTGCTTCAGGATTTGCTTCTCTTACCCCAGACACCCTGCCTAGTCTCACCTCTGTCTCCATCCCTGCTTTTCCCCTCCTGTTTCTTTTTTGCTTTCCCATGTCTCATTCCACATTTCAATCTCTTTTCCAGAGCAACTTCCTACACGTAGACTTTTTAGTTCTGTCTTTTAAACCACTCCAAATTCTACTTGTTGCCTCATTCTGTCCTTCAGCCATCAACATGTATGAGCTCCTCTCTCTTCCCTGACCCAGAGCTCATGTCCCTTGTGTGGTACTTCTCACACAGTGCTGGTCCTTCCTTGCTGATCCCATCAATTGATGCAATGTCCACATGGCACTCAAGAGACATCAGAACAGGTGCCATAGATGCACTTGGACCATTTTAAGCATGCTGGCTCTGACTCAAAGCCAGCAGCATAGTCCCAGGAGGACCAGGGCTGGTGGCACATGCAGCTGGTGGCAGCCTGGGCTGCTCAGTGTGGAAGCAGCTGTCAGCAGTGCTGCAGCCCCCAAACTATGTGGTTCCCATGAAGATCAAGAGGAGCCAGTGATTTCAGGTGCAGTGTTTTGGCCCCAGAATGTCAAGACTGAGTTCGTAGTTAGTCAGCTAAGCTGTACTGGTAGCTCAGAGCCTCTAATCATTCCATGTTCCTAATACTGTAACTGCAGATAGTCTTCTATACATAAAGTGTAGAAGACTGACTGGATTTACCAAACTGCATTAGACAAGGCTTTAGGCATATGTTCCTTTATTTTAAAATTGTACTGTGTTTATAGCTTATATTTCTTTTCTCATGGCATATTTCTTCCTTCCTACTTATGTAAACTTGTCTTAGTTATTTTTCCAACATATAGCAGTGCACTTATGACAAAAATAGGGTAACTACTAGCAAAAAAGTTATTTTTATTGTAATGATTAAAATTACTTATTGACATCCAAAAGAGAGGTATCACATCTGTATAAAACATTAATTTTAATATATTTTAAAAAATCTAGGTGTAGATGTTTATGAAATTTTTTACTAGAAGCTCCTAGTTTATCAAATGACATGCAAAATTATCTACACTGGTAACGCTAAGCATCTTTCCTAGATCTGCAGAATTAAGGTAATGGAAGTGTAAGCTGCTAGCTCTTCTTAGAGCCCCTCTTGCAAGCCTGAACACCCTCTCCCAGGTGCAACTTTCAAACACTACTTGGGACTTCAAGATGAGTGGAGCAGGACCCA